TTCGGGAGGGGAGGGAGGGAAAGGGGCGGAGTGCTGCAGAAGCAGCCCTCGGGCCCTCTGCCTTCTTTGTTAATGTTGCAGTTTTTCCTTTGGTCTTGGAATACTTTTAGATAACACAATTTAAAAAACAATGCAGAAAGTCCTCAGAGACCCCTTTAACCAGTTTCCCAGAGGTTATCATCTTATGTGACCCTGGTACAAGGATCAAAACCAAGAACTTCACCTTGGTGTGATACCGTGAGCCAGACCGCCCCCTTTACTCACACGCCCTCAGTTTTTCCACGAACGCCCTTTTTCTACTCCAGTGTTACCAGGCTGTACTTACTTATCAGTAATTGGTCTCTTTGTCCCCTCCCAGCAGTGACAGTCTACCAGTCTTACTTCGTTTTCATGATCTGGACATTTCTGCAGAGCACTGACTAGGTATTTAGCAGCGGCTCCACCCGTTCATGTCGGTCTGACGCTTTCTCCTGCTGAGACCGGGGGCAAGGGCTTGGGGGAAGCAGCTCTCCTCGCTGCATTCTACCTGGAGATCCATGACCTCAACACAACAAGGGAGTGTCACCCTCACCCCTGGGTGCGGGTGGGGTCCTCCGGGCTCCTCCAGTGTCACGTCCCGGTTTTCCCCTTTCGTCCTGCCTTACTTTCAACCTGCCTGCCACCCCTCTCGGCCAGCCCGCCCTCCCCAGCACTGGGCTGCAGTCACAGGAAGCTGTCTCCTGTGGGAATTCTGAAGGCAGCTTCCACAGTGTGTCTCAAGGACGTTAAGGGTTAAGCAGGCTTCCGTGGGCTGCTTGTTAAGAATCCTGGGACCCTCCTCCAAAGCCTGTACAACACAGGGGAAGAAATAAGGCTGCATTACTGATGCTGAAATGAAATCATCTGGAAGTATTTTCATGTGAAGCTGGCTTTCAGAAACAGAGGCAAAACACACTAACAAACTAATCTGGGACATATGGCGTTCCTTCCAGTCATGCACACTTCTAATATAAATCTCCTAATCACTTATATCTTGTTTTTCAGGTTTATTGTCAAGCCAGTTTTTCATTTTTTCCTCCAAAGGACAACCTCCCTGCCTAAAAGAATAGGCTCTGGCAGAAAGGCGGAGTGCAGCTCAGCCACGAGAATCAGATCACACTTGCCATAAGCACTACCTAACGATCTCCCCTTCCTTTTTTTTTTTTTTAATTTTAAGTAGGACCAAATATACTCTGATAATGATGAGGTTTTCAAAGTTGAGCCTTTTGGGTTCCTTGCTGACTCTCCCTCCCACTAGGTGGCGCTACACGTCACATTCCAAGTGGGCTGCTCTCAAGAGTCAGTGAAGAGCATTTTTTTAAACCTTTGCAAGCATATCACTAGTGACAAGTACTAAACTTCCTTCTTAATAAACATTTCTCCTTTTCTTTCTACATTTACTGTCATCTGACAACTGAAACAGGGGAAATCTGAACTTGTGGAATACAGCGTTCAAGTCATCATAGATTAAAAGTAAATGTTACTGGCAGAAGGGTCATGACCACACGAGTGACATGAAAAAGCAGGAGTTGCATCATTGGAGGCAAGCAACTGGGAAGATGTTTCAACTCACTGGACTCAGCATTTCCTCATTTCTAAGTTCTGGTTTCACATAAGTGTCTTTCACATAAGTTTATCTATTAACTGTATCAGTATCTCCCCACCTCTGGCAGAGATTTTAAAACTGTATCAAATCAGTAAAGATTTTAAACTACAGGCAAACATTTTAAAGACATTCTTAAAAACGCAAAAACTAGGCGGGTTAAAATATTACTTAGGTGCGGTTTCCTCTGATTAGAAACCTCTTTCCACAATTATAACTCATTACTTAAGCAGAAACAAACACTCTAAAAGCTTCGAGTCTAAGATCGTTAGGAAGCACACGGAGAAATGATGCTCTTTATCAGCCAAGACACTGCTCCTTGGTGGAGGAAGACGTCCCCCTAAGGAAAAGTCCCCCGTCTGTAAAGTTCCTGACCCAGCCCAGAACCTGACTGATGGTGACTGGGATGTGCATTGTTGAATGCATCCCATAGAGATAGGAGACCTTGGTTGTTTATATCAAGTCGGTCTGTTTGCTCTGTGATACTCTCCTCCAGTGACGTAAGCATCTGGTCTATGTAAGGTCAGCCCCGTTGTCATTAATTGCACATGCTTATTTCATTCTCACCACCACCCCCCCAGAACACAGAGTTGGCACATACTCTTTCCTGTCCTATCAACAGACTTATTTATATGAGACAAGTGTTCCAAAGCGTTTTTGGTGTTTGGGGGTGGGCAGATTACAATACTGTGGAGGGTTTGGCTCCAGGTGGCTGTGTGTTTCACACACAACACATCAGCACATGCTAAGGCTCATGGTTACTAGGGCCTAACCGCTCACACAAGGCACTCTCCACTTCTGAGCTGCACCCCGTGTGCTTCGTTGCTTCTGCTGTTGTTTTTAATGCCTGGATTCAACAGTCCAAAGCCTATTCCACCTGGGTGCCTGACATGGCTCAGAAGTTCCACAACCACTAAATAACTTTCCTGTTATAAAAATTCTATCACTTTCCACACCTACCGGGTGCCTGCTCTTGCACGCTTGTGTGCTTGTGTGCGTGCGCACGAAACTTGCATGGTGCATGCACACGCACATGCACACACACACACGAAGGAGACTTTGGCTCATCCTGCCCAGGCGGTCTACTGGGGAGATGACCCAGGGCAAACAGAATTGCAGCAGGTGGCTTCCCGCAGAGGCTGTCTGCAACTCTCACTGGATGGAGAGTCCAGTCACTGAGGGTTCCTGGGGGCACACACATGAAAGAAATTATGCCCTCTCCTGCCTTCCCATAGACACGTATTATAGACTCAAGGCCCAGAGCAGTTTCTCCCCCACCTTTCATCCCTCCCGATGTCCTTCACCCCCTCTGAGGACACAGAGCCGCTTTGGACGTCAGTCCACACGACCTTGCATGGGTGGCCAGACTCCCTTGGCTCGAATTTCATTTCCAACCCTTCGTGTAGAAGGGCTGGTGGCTCAGGAGGGTGAGAATCTGCACACGGAGGTGCAGCCTTGCAGCTGCTCCCAGCTGCTATGAAATGCCGACTGCCCTGATAGGAACCGAAAGTTGCTCTGTTCAGCCTGCCTCTACAGTGGACTCGATAAACAGGGCAGTGATCGTTCAGGGCCAGAGAACAGCGAATTCTGATGATTAAATCACGGAAAGAACAAACCCCTAAACTCCAAGCTGTCAAAGATTATGCAACCTGTGATCTTCCTGGATGCTATAGAGTGAAACAATTTTAGCGATCATCTTCTCTGCAGAAATTATCCAGTCTCACTAAAGAAAATCAATCAAAACGGAGGAAAGAGACATACTGGTATAAGAGACGAGATAATGAATACTTAGTATCTTGTCCCCAAATGCAAGACTAAAGTGTTACCGTATTCAAACATGTCCGTACACACACATACATAAGCACATATGCGTACACAGTATATATACACACACATATCTTCAAATATTTTATAGACAGGTATTTTTCATCTTAGGAGAAAAAGAACCACACCTTCCAGTTGGTGCAGACACACAGGCAGAGTGGGGGAGGGAGCTTCTCACTGAATTCCAAGTTCACCTGCGCTTGAACTACAGCGGAGACATTTGGTCTTGACTTCCAGAAAAGATCTCGAAGTTTTGAAGCTAGCGAAACAACTCCCCACCCTTCATCAGGAGCCCAGCACGCGCACGATGATGGGAATGGAGACTGTCCATGGTGAAGGATGGCATTCCCGCGACAGGCCAGCCACACACATTTGTTGTACTGATACCATGTCGGCTAAATTAAGAAATATGGAATGCTCTCTAAACCCATCAGGGTGGAGTTTCATAACCAGAAAACTCTACTGATGTGTCCTAAATGTTCATCAACACATTTCCTGGCATATTAAACTTTTCCTTTCTTTCATTTATTTTAGAGTAATAGTAGGCATTTTAAATCAACAAGGATAATCTCCTTCTTAGCGATTTTGAATAAATTCATTTTCTTGGCCTTTACTATGAATTTGTTCAAATGAAGACATTGTTGATTACATTATTCTTGGGATATAGTTCATAAAGTATTTACATTTTTTTCCTAGAGAGAGAAATTTATTGAAACATTCTAGCAACAGGCATTTCTAACTCTCAAACTCAATTTCTAAGAGATTGTCTTCAAACTCCCTAAAGGCAGCAGATTTCTGAAGTTGTCAGGACAGTAGGGGGCACTGCCACAACAAACTATCACAGCAAACTGGGAGTTCACTGAGTAAAAAACACAAGGCTAGACATTTATGACTCTTCTATGTCAACAAGCATCTAAAAAATATTGTACATTTTTTTCTCTTCCATAATTCACTTCAGGGTTCAAATCCTGGGGTTTTCTTTCCATTTCTGTGTGTGTGTGTGTGGTCATCAGTGTCTGTTAGAAAGCCTCTATTACAAATTTCAGGCTGATTCAGGAAAGTCTAACCGAATCCCTTTTTCTAAATTGCTGGCTAAATACAAGCGCTAAAATGCACTTAATAGTTAAGTGGCATCCTGTGTGATTATTTTTTCACAGTTAAGTCTTCAATCTTGCTCACAAACATCAAACTCCCAAGTTCAGAGTCAAGATGAAAGAGAACTGTGGCAAAATTTCATTAAATAATCGTATAATCCAGGCTCCATAGGTTGGACTTTTTTAATAAGAGTTTTTCCATGTAATTGAGTTAAACTTAAATTTATGCATCCAATAAAAGACCATTGCAAATGGTAAAACAAAGACCTTGCTCCAACACTTGGAAAATTAAATTCACCAACCATGGAATCTACTGTGTAGTTATTTTTGTAACCGCCATAAATTGCTTTGTAAAACTCCTCTACTGAAGTAAACAATCCAAGGAGATATTTACTTTATAGCGCGCATCCGGTTTCCAAGTGAGAGTAGCCTAAAAGTTTATGACTTTTCCTTTTTTTCCCTTTTTTTTTAATACTTGTGTTTCTAGTTACCTTGAAACCTTCCTTCTCTTACAAGAACTCAGAAAAGTCCACAGAAAATCAGATTCAGCTCTGTAGATACACTGTGCCCGCTAATACTTCTGGAATGGGAAGAAACAGTCCTACTTTGTGGAAATAAAGTCTATAAGGCAAAACAAAAATAAAGGGCTTCAGTACTAAATACTTCACCATATTTAATAGTACCTCAGAGTCCAACATTGTCTTAGATGTTTTAGGCAGTCGGCTTGAAATGTGTTCACTTAGAGCACTGTAGCAGGCCGAATTCAGCGTAAACTGCTATAGATAAGAGTTTTAGGGGTCTTTAATCACTTCTTTCTTGTGTCCTTGATGGAAAAAACAGAGCTGCCTTTGTGCTAAGAAGAAGGACCTGTTGTTTCCAGATTCAACAGGTCATTTTTATAAGGACTTCCCAGAGGATACAACTTAAATGACAGAAACACAAGGGGATTTTTTAAGTGGCTGATGATTTTAAATGATATATATACTATAGTAAGGGAGGGCTGTTTGTTTTTCTTTCCAAAAAATGTAAAGTTACTGTTTTAAACATGTTTAATGTCTGAATTCGACTTTCAGGACCAAATATTTTCTCATGAGTTGGATTACTGTAAATTTGGCTCCTGAAATCCATCTCAATGTCTGCTTGACCCTCATGTAAATAAACTTGTCAAATCATGTCCACTTCTGTTTTGGGGATGAATGGTTAATTGAGTGGGCTTTTGAAATATATTTAAATGGTGTTGGAACTTTTGTGATACTGTTTTAATTTAAATAACAAGGAGAATGCATATGTAATAAACATGATACAACTTTATAAAATGGAAAATTCTGGTAGGGCAACTTTTCATTGTACTCAGAGGAAAGGAAAAAGGCCAATATTTCATAGCAAAAAAAAATTCAGGTGACACTAAGATTTATTAGAGTTTGGCTTATTCTATCATTAAAGATGGTCTGAATTTGAGAAGATGGGCAAATTTAAGATTAAGATCTGAATCAGAATTGTTTCCCACACCGTGCGAGGACAATTCCTCACAATGTAACCGGGTTTCCTATTTTTCCCCACTTTTCTTCCTTTAAAAAAATTCGGCAACCTCATTTATAAAGAGAATTGTTAGACAGTCTTTAGAAGAATTTCTGCCAGTCCAGAGACAAACGGTACTCTTCCCGACAAATACAGAAACCATTTTATAGAAGTCTTTCCTTGCCCCAAACAAAGTTACTACCAATGAAGCCTTCTCTGAAACACGTGCTCACGTGTATTTCCCAAATACATAGAGTCCAGTTCTTGGCACTTTAAATCTCTGTATTATTTACCACCCAGGACAATTATTTCTTAGCAAAGGCTTAAGAAAAATAAATAGGGGGTGGCGAAGACCACATTAACCACAGGGAACTGCTCACAAGATAAAAAAGAAATAAAAACAGGCTTCCTTGAGAAAGGGATCCAATAGGTTACATACCTGGGAACTGCACAGACTTCTAACTTGGGGGGGACTTTTTTTTTGTTTTCTCTTTAGCTACCAACAGAGCAGGGATACTTTCACAGAGCAAGAGAAAATGATGAGAGCTGTTTGGGGAAAAGGGAATCCTGAGGACTAAAGAAAAAAATCTCAAATGCCAAAACTTTCCGGCCACCTGGCCTTCGACATCCACTTCCCCTGAAGGGGAAGGCGAGGTGGGGAACCGAGACCCCTCATCTTTCGGACAACCACTGTTAACCCTTTGCCCTCCACACGAAGTGGGGAGGGAGGTGAACTGAGGGTCACCACCCTGCGCTCTGGCTGCCCCCGCCCGCCCTGTCCCGCGCCAGCTCACCGGTACCAGGCGAGGCCCTTGTGGTAGCTGCGGTCGAAGAAGTGGGGCTCGGCGCCCACGG